TTCTGCATGTGTTGCATTAGGCATTTCAGCATAATTAGGATCATGAATGGATTTCTAACATAGCTTTTGTTTTGGCTTGGAGTACTCGGTAAGTGTTTATGCTTTAGCATCCTTGCATGTGTGTGAGTGACTGCCATGATAGCATGCTTATTATGAGGTTATGTGCTTATATGATATACCTGCCTGAATGCCTGTGGGTGAAGGTTGGATTATCTGAATTGGAATAATGCATTGACTGTGAGTTTTAAGTCCACTTGAGAGTGGCAAACCATCACGTTTTCTAAGCCCACCCGAGGGTGGCAAATCCACGTCTTAGCCTACTTACGGGTAGCACCATCAAACCATTTTCAAAATAAACAAACATGAGATGTGTTGTTCCAATTCAGGCAATCCAGTCTATACTTGTATGTTGTGCGCTTCACATAGTAAATCTAGGCTAATAACCGGAATAAGAATGCATAATGTTTTCAAAACTCGATATCATGGTTAGTAGAGGCCGATCTTTGATCGGGCGAGCGGGGGTGCTCACGAAGTGACCTTCCCCAATCGTACCCAAGTTCCCGAGCCGAGGCAACTTTGGTGATGACGGACACGTGGTCTTCGGCACGAGTCAGGGTTTCCTAAATTCTCCCAAAATAAAATATTTAGGTGGCGACTCTGTATCTGGCAAAGCAGTCCATGTTTGGCACTTTTTTCTAAAAATCTGCTTTTCAAAACGATTTGCCGGATTTGGACTCTTCGATGATTCATCGGTCTTGCATTGCACTCTGCGAGATTAGATACAGGACCGTCACATTTGAGTCCTAAACTGTAGTGAGCCCCGAATGAACAAAACGGGGGGATTTCCAACTGGACGTTCGGGGACATCTACAGTATGCCATATTATCCTTAGCATTGCGCATGCCAGGTAGTTCGTCGCATTGAGTATGCCATTTGATGTTCGCATTGAGTATGCTAAGTCACATCGTGTCACATGGTTGCATGCCGTTAGCATTGATAGGTTGCTTATGTTGCTTTGCATTGAGTATGCATGCTTTTGGCATTGGTGGTTTGGTCATTTTGTTGCGTGCATGTCCCTTGCATTGCATGTTTGCATACTTATGTTGTATTTCATTATGCTTGCATGCATTACACTGTGCATGCCATGTTTCTTGTTTGCATAATTGCATTGCATTTCCATGTTTGGGTTGCATTGTGTTCGGAATAGGAGTAATTCCGAACACGGGAAACGAGGGACGTCTCGTACTCAAAGTGACGAAACGTGCCTCGATTCCCGATCGCCGACACTCTTGACCATCCATGATGGAGTTGTTGGTTTTAGTTGCTTATATGTGCATTCATGTCCCATTGAGTCGTGCAATTCGACTCCTCGGCCATCATGCATCGAGATGCATGATTGGTGGTTCAAGGATCGAGGGTTACACTCCTTAGAGCCTATGCTATGACGAGAAGAGTGGTCGGGCACACATTTGTTGAAAATACCTTACCATGCCTCCCTATTGCTTTGTGTTGCCGAAAACCATAATCCAGGGGCAGAAAGTGGTCGGCCGACCAGGTTTTTTGGCAGGCCGACCACCTTTTTTGGTCTCCACCACAAAGGGTGGTCGGCAGGTGGTCTCTAATGCCATTGGCTGGTCGGCAGTTGTAGGCACGCCCTCAGGCCTCACTACAGTTCGGACTCAATTTGTGTCACGGTCCAGTATCTAATCTCGCAGAGTGCAATGCAAGACGGATGAGTTATCAAAGAGTCCAAATCTGACAAATCGTTTTGGAAAATAGATTTTTTAGAAAGAAGTGCCAAACATGGACTGCTTTGCCAGATACAGAGTCACCACCTAAATATTTATTTTGGGGGAATTTAGGAAACCCTGACTCGTTGCCTAAGGCCACGTGTCCGTCATCACCAAAGTTGCCTCAGCTCAGGAACTTGGGTACGATTGGGGAAGGTCACTTCGTGAGCACCCCCACTTGCCCGATCAAAGATCGGCCTCTACTAACCATGATATACAGTTTTGAAAACATTATGTGTTCTTATTCCGGTTATTAGCCTAGATTTACTATGTGATGCGCACAACATACAAGTATAGACTAGATCGCCTGAATTGGAACAAAACATTTCATTTTGTTTTGAAAATGGTTTGGTGGTGCTACTCGCAGGTAGGCTAAGACGTGGATTTGCCATCTTCGGATGGGCTTAGAAAATATGATTTTGCCATTATCTAGTGAGCTTAAAACTCACAATTAATAAATTGTTCCAATTCAAATATCCCAACCTTCACCCACAGGCATTCAGGCAGTTATATCATATAAGCACATAGCCTCATGGTAAGTATGCTATCATGGCAGTCACTCACACACATGCAAGGATACTAAAACATAAACACTTACCGAGTACTCCAAGCCAAAACAAAAGCTATGTTAGAAATCCATGCATGATCCTAACTATACAGAAATGCCTAATGCAACACATGCAAAATGCAACTAAGATAGGCTCGGCTACTCTAAAGATGGCGTGTGAAATGCTACGACTAATAAGTATTCAACTCGGAATCGAAATACAAATGCAGTTAGCATGATGCGCCGAGCCCAGTGCATGCTAGACAGATGAATGAATGCAAACATGCTATCATACTGTATGCTAATTGAAACATGCCCTAATCTAACCATCATTAGCTGGTAAATAAATGAGAGAAAGACGTGGGGTTGGAAGACATACATCACACGCACGCACACTTATTACAATTGCACCCTCGCTCAGAGGGTCCGAATAAATAATATACAGTTCGAACAAATAGTACAGTCCGAATAAATACAAAATCCTAATTAATTAACAAATTAATCTCGAAAAGCAAATAAATTAGCACGCAAATCCATGGACTGCCTCAGCTCTGTTCCGAATGATTAATGATGCATGCTTGAGTTGCCTTGCGCGGAAATC